GGGGGGAGCACAGTAACAATGAAGGAAACACAGCCATGTCAGGTTTGTCTGGATAGGCATGGGACTGTCAAAGTGTAGAAGTTTGAAGCTATGGAAAAACACATGGACATTTCTTTTGAGGAATATAATTTTTGAACCCTGCAAATGAAGTCCATTTATAGAGATTAAAACAACCTACTAAAATCTGTACACCTAAAGAAACTAATCAAGAGGGAGGACTATTGCTAAAATGCTAAATTCCTATCCAGAAAGGCAAAGAGGATGGACATCAGAAGAAGGAGAAAAGAGGGAACAAGTCAGGAGCCTGACACAGAGGACCTCTGAAAAGCTCTGCCCTGCAGACTATCAATGCAGATGCTGAGACTTATGGGCAACTTTGGGCAGAGTGCAGGGAATCTTATGAAAGAAGTGGGAATCATTAAGATCTGGAGAGGACAGGAGCTCCACAAGGAGAGAAACAGAACCAAAAATTCTGAGCACAGGGGTCTTTCCTGAGACTGATACTCCAACCAAAGACCATGCATGGAGATAACCTAAGACCCCTGCACAGATGTAGCCCATGGCAGCTCAGTATCCAAGTGGGTTCCATTGTAATGGGAACAGGGACTGTCTCTGACATGAACTGATTGGCCTGCTCTTTAATTACCTCCCCCTGAGGGGGGAAGCAGCATTACCATTACTGGGCCACAGAAGAACACAATGCAGCCACTCCTGATGAGACCTAATGGACTAGGATCAGAAGGAAGGAAAAGAAGACCTCCCCTATCAGTGGACTTGGGGAGGGGCATGCATGCAGAAAAGGAGGAAGGGAGGGATTGGGATGAGAGGAAAGAGGGAACCACAGGGGGGTTACAAAGTGAATAAAGTATAATTAATAAAGAATTAAAAAAAATTTGCAGATTTTCTATCACAAATGTAATTTCTATTCAATGTTAGTATTAAAATTTCTTTTTCGTAATAATCATTACAATTTTAATAATGTGATGAAGATAAGAATACTGGATATGTAATGCTAAGTATTATGATACCATTTATTATAGGTGTGTATTTAATTGTATAAAGTTTTCAATTTTAATTTTACTATGTTCTCTCCTATTTGACATAAAATTATTATTCCAGACATTTAAATAATTATACCACTGAGTTTACTTCAAATGTGGCTCTCCTGTGTGAGTGTGGAGAAATTCTCACAGTACTGTGTTCTTAATCCAGCTGATTGAACCATGTCTCAGTTATCCCATTTTGTATTTCTCTTGCCTGATATAAAAATTCAATAACAATTTCTCACATCGTATACATGGTGTTATTAAGTTAAAACTCTCTACAATAAAATAATAAAAAAAGTTTGCAGATTCTTGTAAAACACATTGCATTTGAAATATATCTGTTAGACCTTGCATACTGAATGTGTGATTTTTTTTTTTTGGAGGGGATAAAAATTTAGCACAATGTAAGTATTTTCCTTAATCAGTGAAAGTCAGCCATTGTTTATTACTTAGAGCAATTGTGTAATTTGCTCTAAGAGAAATTT